GGAAGAATCTAGAACCAGGGATCATTATTTAACAATAAGGGGTTGCCCATTTAAGACACAAATAAGGAATTTTTTTCCTCTCTGAGAGTCATGAGTCTTTGGAACTCCTTGAAAGGTGATGAAAGCAGAGTCTTTAAATATTTTCAACATGAGGTTAGACTGATGCTTTATAAACAGGAAATGAAAAGTTATCGGGGTGGGGGTGGAGTGCAGAATATTCAGATCAGATATGAACCTATTGTATGGTGGAGCAGGCTTGAGGGGCTGGCTGTTAATTTATATGTTCATATATTACAACTTGCACAGTATGGGGTCCTTGTGATTTTTTTTTCTGTTTGCTGAGGATATAGTCTTTATGTTGTGTATAGTCTAAGTAGTATTTGGACATTTGTAATGTTACAGAATTCTAATGCATGTACTTGGGTCTAATTTTCTCATAAGCTCGAATATACTGCCATAAGTCAAGTGGAACCACTCCATTGTGAAAATTTACCTGCTGTCTTAAGCTTTACTTGAAGCTAAAGATATCTGTTGTGACAGATCTGGAGCGGGACAGAATTATTTTTGCCCGAACTCTGCCTGAAATGCTGTGAACAAGGGCCTTGGCATATTGTAGACAAGGGGATACACCATTTCAATGGAACTGTGGCACTAGAAGCAGCAGAGAGATAACTTCTACCGTCTCACTTATCAAGATTAAGGGTATACTTTGTTTCAAAGAAACAGTCACCTGAAATCTTAAATGCCTTTTCTTCCTTTCTAAATTGTATCAGTATAAATATACTGTTTGAGGGAAGTCTGCATTTTTCATTTCTTTCACCTTCAGTATTCATAGGAAATCATAGAGCTTTGATGATTGTCATTTATTTATCCAGGCTATAGAGTTGGTGGTGGAAAATATTACTCCACTGAAGTCTTTCACACAGGGGAATACAATAACAATGTCACATGATCGACAATGTTTCTTTAAGCTCCAGATCATGTTTAGATAATTGCCTTTTTCTAGAGGACAAGGTTGCACCTGCAGTTTTAGCTGTTCTCTTGGAGTAAATGATTTTTAGGTTGATGATGGTCTGAGAAGGTATTTTAAGCTGCTGCCACCTGGCGTGAGGTTTTCACATAGATGTGGTGACTCCAGGGTAAACTGGCTGCTGTGTTCACAATATCGAGCATTCAACTATGTTCCAGACAGCAGGATCAATTATATCCAACAAACCTTTCTGTGTAAGAGCACCCACCAGCACTGACAGCCACCTGAGGCTCGAAAGTAATGTTGAATGCAACAACAATGTGCATTGTTTTTACTTTAAGAGTAGGAAAACATTCAGGCATAAGGAGAGACTGTGGCCTGGGCAGAATGTCTTTTTTATTCCCGCTGTTTAGCTGGAGAATGTTGCGGTGTAACTTGTGAAGAGTAGAAATGAATGCCATCAGCATGGCTGTGAAAACAGATCCCTCATTGTCTCAATGCCAATTACTTGATCTCAATCTCCATTTCAGTCTGATGTTAACCTAGAACAAATTGATGGCAAAGTGTAGTTTACCTCCTGCAGCTGAGTATAGGCCATTACCACAGTATTTGTCCATGAGACAGACAGTGGGATTGTAAGAGAGCACCTCAGGGTCTAAGTTGTCACAGAACCTTTATGAAATATCCCATGGAATTTGACAAGGTGGGGGGGGGGGGTGGGCGTGGGATGTCAGGAGATTGAGGAGAACTCTGTATCAGGAGCCCTGTTAGTCATAGTAAAAGTACATTTGATGGAGACAATAACAGACTAAAATAATGAAAGGGCACCTAAGAGAAAGAAATAACAAATATATTGGGAAAAGTTACAATGATTTTAAACAATAAACTTACTGCAAGAGATGAGTATAATGGTATTAAACCTTTATCTGTTCCTAGGCGCCACTCCGTGGTTTGAGCCTGTAACTGCAAAGCCGTTTTTAAAACAAAATATTTTCTAAGCAACCTGTTCAGAGATGCTGGGAAAATGCTCAGCAGGTCTGGCAACATATGTGGAGAGAAAGCAGAATTGATGTTTTAACCTGAAATGTTAACTCTGCTTTCTTTCCACAGATACTGCCAGACCTGCTGAGTTTTTCAAGCAATTTAGAGTCCTAGAGATATACCGCACTGAAACAGACAATTTCAACCATGCTGACCAGGTATCCTAAATTAATCTAGTCCCATTCGTCAGCATTTGACCCATATCCCCCTAAACCCTTCCTATTTATATACCCATCTAGAAGCCTTTTAAATGTTGTAATTGTACCAGCCTCCATCACTTCCTCTGGCAGCTCATGCCATACACGCATTACCTTCTGCATGTAAACATTGCCTCTTAGGTCCCTTTTAAATCTTTCCCCTCTCACCTTAAGCCTGTGCCTTCTAGTTTTGGACTCTCCCACCCCAGCGAAAAGGCCTTATCTATTCAGCCTATCCATGCCCTTCATGATTTTATAAACTGCTATATGGTCATTCCTAAGCCTCCAATGCTCCAGGGAAAATAGCCCCAGTCCATCCATCCTCTCTCCATAGCTCAAACCCTCCAATCCTGGCAAGATCCTTGTAAATCTTTTCCAAATCATTTCAAGTTTCACAACATCTTTCCTATCGGAGGGAGACCAGAACTGCACACAGTACTTCAATAATGGCCTAACCAATGTCCTGTCCAGCTGCAACATGACCTCCCAACTCCTATACTCAATACACTGCCCACTAAAGGCAAGCATACCGAACGCCTTCCTCACTGTCCTATCTACCTGCGACTCCACTTTCAATTTGTATCTTTGCTTCTGATTTCCAGCACCTGGAGTTCTTTTGGTTTTTTTGAATGTTATAACATACCTTTGGAGCAGGTGAGACTTGAACTTTGGCCTTCTGGCTCAGAGGTAGGGACACTGCACCAAAAGGCCCTTTTTTAAAAATCATATCCCAGATAATGTGCCAATTAACATTCTGGATCTTCAACAGTTTTGTGACAAAAGCCATAACAACTCTAATCCTTTAAGCTCTATAGTAGCACTACTAACAGATGTAAAGGATTTGGTGCTAAATGCTTATACTTTTTAAATAAATAAACAGTCTTTCTCTAGAATATCTGCCTATATCTGAAGCTAATACATTACCAATCACTCATTGCACTGATGACCACTCAAGACACAGTGAAGTGTTTGGGTTGGACAAGTAGGCAGGGTGGTAAACAGTTGATTGTAGCTAAGAGGGGGCATATAAGAAGAGGGAATAGAAGGAAGCAGAGGTGGCAAGGGTTAAGAAGAGGAATGGCAGGCGCAATGGAGAGTGGAAAAGAAGAGAACAGACAGGGCAAGGGATTGAAGGAAAAGGACAAAGGAAAGGAGGCAGTGGAGGGAAGCATTGAGAATAGAAGGTGGGAAATGATGGACAGATTGAGAAGGTGGGTTTTGCATTGATCAAAGTACCACATAATGCAGTGAGATGAAAGGCCATTTTTCCAATGACTTTCAGCATTTTAGGTGTCATTGGCATCACGTGAGCTATGTGCTTCTACTACTGTATAACAGGCTATCAAGAATATTATGTCAGGCAGATTCTTTCTTCGCATGATGTTCTGAATCATACTTTCCTGCAGAAACAATCATTAACCCTTGCTGATTTTCACCTCCCTCATCCAAGGCCGTGTCTCACCATCTTACTACTGCACACCGGCTACTGTCTGACATATTCTATTAACCACAACTACTTTTGTTACTCAATGCAAACGAATATATTGGGGTTGCTGGTAAGTTTGAGTGATTGTATATAATGAGTACTATTGAACCAGCTGCCAATAAAGATTGGAATTTGAAACAAACAGAAATGTAAAATGGAATGCAGATTCACTATCAACCATTTCATGCAAGTCATTAAAATCTGTCCTTTTGCAATAGTTGCAATTTCTAAGGCAGAGGGTACACTAGTTGATATGCCACTCAGGCATAAGATCAGGAATGCAATGGATTCTTTCCTTTTCTACAATAAATGAGCAGCGAGATGCTGAGATCCAGCTTTGGTGTCCTTAGATGAGGGAGGTGAAAAATCAGCAAGGGTTAGCGAGTGTTTCTTCAGGAAAGTACACTTCCGAACATCAAGTGAAGAAAGAATCTGTCTGACATAGTGTTCCTGTCAGCCCACTAGCATTCATACTCTAAGCTCAAAATGAAAGAATAGAATCTGATTTTCAAGCACACCTGGAGGTTATAGAATCATGCTTCAATATAAATTCTTGGACCAAAGTGGCATGATACCAGTGGATAAACAATGAACAGGAATATTGCAAAGGAATTCCAAATGAAAAGTTATGAAAGGTAATATATTGCCCGCCCTTTGAGTCATTGTAATGGTAGCCACTATGAACATTCAGGTTTACTTGCTGTTCATGGTTGCCATAATATGAGAGAAAGAAGAATTAAATATTAATGACTCCAAGTATTAGAATTGATTACCAGATGATCAATTCAACTGCCTAAGGCATTCAATAATAATACTCTTTTTAAAATGATTAAAAGGTTCCAATTCTTCTGTTGCCTCTGAGGCTATTATCCAAGTTGTATTGCTCAAAGCCCTCCACTAAAAAAGTTATTTGCATATAGACTGCTCAGAGTCCAATAATTCACTATATATTTTTTCCTTTTTTTGGACATTTCCCTTCCTTTCTCCTTCTGTCTTCTGTTGTTCTGTTTCTCTGCTTGTTTTTACACTATTTTACCTCGGTTTACAGTACTGTCAAGTTTAAATGCAGATATGAGGTTGCATTGACAGAACAAAGATGAGTCAGTCTTCAATACGTGTGACATTATTCATGAAAAATGCATGATAAAAAATTGAAATAGAAACTGAAGATGATACATTATTTTTAAAAAATTGAGTGTTTTTTGGACTTGACTTCATTTAACAATAACATAATGCACTGAGACAGACTTTTGCAATAAGCTTTGATTTTAGATCAAATGTTACAGCTGTGTGCTTTGCTTTACAGTCGAAGATGTGGACAGTATAGTATGAACCAAGCGCATTCCAGAAACATGGAGAATCCTCAATATGAACGCTCCTACTCCCAGGATTCTCTGGATGAACTTTCCATGGCTGACTATTGGAATGAAGTGGAAAATATCCAGACAACCCAGGAAAATTGCCAGGAAGAGCAAGAAGAGGTGGCCGTGAAAGTGCCTGATGGTAAATGAAAGCTTCTTGGATAAATTGTGTGATATAACCAAACTGAATTAATCAAAACTACTAGTTTTAGTAAGGCTTTCAACAGGCTCCCTCATGGTAGGTTCATCCAGAAGATTAAGATGCAGAGATCCACAGTAACCGTGGATTTAGAATTGGCTTGCCCATAGAAGGCAGATAGTAATGGTGGAAGGATAATTTTCTGGCTAGAAGTCACGACTAGTGGTGTTCCGCAGGGATCTGTACTGGGACCTCTGCTGTGTATATATAAATGATTTGGATGCAAATGTAGATGGGTGGGTTAGTAAGTTTGCAGACAATATAAAAATTGGTAGAATTGTGAAGAGTGTAGAAGGTTATCAAAGGATACAGCAGGATATAGATCAGTTGCAGATATGGGCAGCAAAATGGCAGATGAAGTTTAATCTGGGTAAGTGTGAGGTGTTGCACTTTGGGAGATCAAATGTTAAGGAAAAATGTATAGTTAATGCCAGGACCCTGAAAGCATTAACGTACAGATGGGTCTTGGAGTTCAAGTTCATAGCTCCCTGAAAGTGGCCACACAAGTAGGTAGGTAAAGTAGGCATATGGCATGCTTGCCTTTATTGGTCAAGGAATTGAGTAAAGAGTCAGGATGTCATGTTGTAGCTTTATATGTCTTTGATTAGGACACACTTAGAGTTTTGCATTCAATTCTGGTCACCACATTACAAGAAGAATGTGGAGTCTATGGAGAGGGTGCAGAAAAGGTTTACCAGGATGCTGCCTAGATTAGAGGGTATGAGCTATAAGGAGAGGCTAGAAAAACTCAGTTTGTTTTCTCTGGAGCAGCAGAGGCTGAGGGGAGACTTGATAGAAATCTATAAAATTATGAGATGCAAAGGTATGGTTGACAGTCAGAATCTTTTTCCCAGAGTTGAAATGTCTAATACTTGGGGCATACATTTAAGGTGAGATGGGGGGGAAGTTCAAAGGAGATGTGAGGAGCAAGATTTTTAAACAGAGAGTGGTAGGAGTCTGAAAAGCGGTGGTGGAGGCAGATATGATAGGGCATTTAAGGAACTTTTAAATAAGCACATGAAGATGCAAAGAATGGAGAGATATGGACCAAGAGCAGGCAGAAGAGATTAGTTTCATTTGGTGTCATGTTCGGCACAACATCTAAAGAACACAGTCCAAGCCTGTCTAGTCTGTCTTATAACTCATTAGATCCATCCCAGGCAACATCCTGGTGAGGCCTCTGTACCCCCTGTAGTGCTATCACATCTTTTCTGAAATGAGGTGACCAGAACTGCACACAGTACTCCAGTTATGGCCAGACTAATACTTTTTACAATTCCAACATTACCTCCTTACTCTTTTGCTCTATGCCACGACTGATGAAAGCAAATGTCCCATATGCCTTTTTAACTATCCTATTGATGTACACTGCCAACTTCAGGGATTTGTCAATAATTAATCCAAGACCCCTCTCTTCCTCTGAGCTACCTAGTGTCCTGCCATTTATTAAATACTCCCTGATCTTGTTTCTTCTTCCAAAGTGCATCACCTCACACTTATCAGGGTTAAATGCCATCTGCCACTGCTCTGCCCATCTGACCAACCCATCTATATCTTCCTGTAACCTACAAATATCATTTTTACTATTAACCAGTTACCAATCTCGGTATCATATACAAACTTATTTAACATTCCCCCCAAATTTTCATCAAATCATTCATGTACATAACAAACAATAAGGGTCCCAGTAATGATCCTTGTGGCACACCCCACTGGACACCAGCCTCGAGGCACTCAAACAGTCTTCTACCACTACCATTTGTGTCCTATTACTTTACTAGTTTCTGATCAATATTGCCAAGTGTCCCTGAATTCCATGTGCTTTAGCCTTTTCAATCAGTCTCTCACGTGGTACCTTGTCAAAAGCTTTGCTAAAATCCATGTAACCTACATCAACTGAGTTTCCCTGGTCCTCTCACTTGGTCACATTTTCAAAAAATCATCCTATGTCACAGTTAAATTGACTTTAATGCAGAATTTTCACACTTAAAATATGTCCAGAATCTGGAGCATAATACCAATGCTTGAAGGGGCAAATTACTGGAAATACCCAGCCAGAATTGATCACTGTTTCTTGCCATTTCTCAGGGAGTGTCTTTCAAAGTTAGGACAGGAGATTTGGGTGAATCCCCATGGAATCATAGGGGATAAGTCTCTTATATCCTTTTTTAACTGCAGATAGAATATTTTGAATGCTAGTTTTTTGATTATGTAGCCTTTTGCCCATCAAAAGCTCAAACACTGGAGGGCTGACATGCTTGGATTAGAGATAGTAACAAATCAATTTTTAAAACATAATGAGAAGGAGCAAGAATTGGCATCTTGAGCCTGATCATATTCAGTATGATCATAGGTGATTGGGATTGTGGACTCCGATCCACTTTTGTACTTGCCCTCCTTATCCCTCGATTCCCTTGGACGTTAAAAATATGATTAGCTTAGCCTTGAATATATTCAAGTCTGGCAGCTTTTCTGCTCTCAGCAGCACCACAGGGATGTCAGTGCCTGCTGGCAGTATTACACCGACCCAAGGCTTTGGATGAAGTAAAGATGAAGTGAGTGATGGCAGGAAGGGAGCTGTGGAGGAGGGGTTCAATACTGTGGTTAGGGGTTGCCTTTTAGCAGGACCCCTTTTCCCAACCAATGTCAGTGTCAAAGAAACAAAATTGTCAAACACAATTTCCCTTTCATATGAAACAATGTTGCCTTTTCTGATTTGGATAATTATTTTCTTAATATCCTGCTCCTACTTCCTCATAATGGATTACATATATTTTTATGAACAGATCTTAGGATAAATGGCAGTTTCCTGCTTGTCCATGTCCCTCCACTCTTGAGATTTATTTTGTTGACCAACAGGCCCCAAAACCCACAATGCCTGACCACATGACTTGAAGCTGTGAAGGTTTGAAGATAACTCCAAGTCTCAGAGCCTAGCCTCAGTCTGTATGAATAGACATTTCTTTTTTAACTGTTCAATTCATTAAATTTCTTTATTGTCACTATTTGTCTTTAATCCATGTTTTTTTTTTGCTCTCCGTGTAGAAGGGGAGGTGGAGGAAGAGTGGTTGAAGAATGCTGGCCTTTCAGGACTAGTCAGCGGAGACACCCAGGAGAGTATAGCAATACTATCGACTCTAACCAGTACGCAAGCAGAAGCTGTCCAGAGAAGAGTGGAAACATTTACAATGACAATGAAGAAAAAGAACAAACAACATTTCCCTGATGTCAGGGACATCTTTAGTCCACAGGTAATTAGAATGACGCATTCAGTCTAAAAGAAACTTGTGGAGCAGTCCTCTTGTTCTCCTGATGTTTGGGCATTCCTAAGTGGGGTTTCTGTGATAGGAACTTAAATTACTGCAAATTTTAATTATAATTAATTATAATAAAACAAAGAACTGCATGTGCTGGAGATTTGAAATAAAAACAAAAATTGCTAGTGAAACTCAGTAGTTCTGGCACCATCTGGGGGAAGAAAGCAGAACTAACACTTCAAGTCTTTGACAGAATGTTAGCAGCTCGGAAAAGGTGGTATTTTTGCGGAAGCCGAAGCTGGGGGAAGGGGGCACTGAAGGAAGGAGAAGGGGATAGATGAGCAGATAGGTGGAGATAGAGCCCACAGAGAGAGAGAGAGAGCTTTATGAAAGGAGTAGATAAACAGGGAGATTATGTATAGCAGGCCAGAACAGAAGAAAAGCTGAAAAAAATGGTAGTACGAGCTAAGAGTAGGAAAAAAAAATTAGGTGAGCTGTACTGGATGCAAGCCATATAATGTGATAATATGCCTTGGAGGATGTGAGAATGGGTGACTGTGCAATAGTAACCCATGTCATAATTCTTCAGGTGTAGGGTGGGTAAAAACCTGCAATGATGGAATCGGGTTCTAAAGTTATTGGACTCGAAAATGATCCTGAGCTTCCATTTGCCTGCCACTTCAACACATCGCCATCTTCACATGCCAACATTTCTGTCACCGGCCTGCTGCAGTATTCTAGTGAGCCTCTGCTCAAGCTCAAAGAACAACATCTCACTTTCTACATGGGGACCTGGCAGCCTCTAGGACTCAACCTCAACCTGAATAACTTCACCACTAATACCAGATTTTCCTAGTTGTTATCCATTCGAATGGAGAATCACTGGACTCAAAAACCAAATTTTGCTTTGTTTCCACATATATACCACCAGACCTGCTGAGTCTGTCCAGCAATTTCTGTTTTTGTTTCAAGTGTTCAGAGTTCTTCCTATGTAGTAAGAAGACAGTATATATTCAGGATTTGTCGGATGACAAAAGCAAAGAACAAACATCACAGAGAAAGACACAGGTATACAAAATACATATTAGCAATGCCCTGAAATCATATTGGGTTCCCCTGAGTTTCTGCTCTAACGTGAAGTAGTAAAGCAGAAGAAATCCAAGAGACACTGCGTGTTATCAACCAACTGCATCATCGCTCTGGGACTTTCTGCAAATATCCTATCGAAGGGAGAATGGGAATTTCGGGACCATTATATGGCATGGTGACAGCAATGACTTGCATTTAACAAGTGCTTTCATGTTGGAAAATATTTTTCAAAACATTCAGAGAAACAAGGAAAATGGGATATTAAACACTGCTGAATGTTAAAAGCTGCAGCATTCCACACAAGAGGGAAAATAAGAACATTTGATGTACTTCTGTTTACTGCCTACAGCGGTCATTCATTCTAGTCTAGTATCTGGCAAAGGTTTCAAAGGTAGGTAAACTGAAAATGACAAATTAGTTAATGAGCAGAAAGATTGATTTCTTTGTGCAATAAAGTTCAATATCTTATAAACTTATAATGATATATTTAGTAAATGTAAAATATTAGTCAAAATGCAATGGCACAATGTATGACTGTACCAAGGAACGAAAGAAATGGATTCGAACTTCTACTTTTTCATCCATCAAGTTCCCAATTCTCAATATATCATTCATGGAATGCTCAGAGGACACCTGCAACTGTATATAAATGAAAAACTAATAGAATAGAAACACGCATTAGAAATACTTACTGCTCAAAAAAGTCAGACTTTACTGATGACCTTAAGTAACACGTAGTTTCGGTATTATTACTGGTGATATCAACAGATGAAAGCTAAATTATTTATCTGACATTCATCAGTCAATTGTTATGAATTAAGTTGTTAACACATTGAAAGTAAAATTGGGTAGTTGCCAGTATTAACTTACTAAAAAAAGTAAAGCCTTACAAACCAATTAAGAACTCATTTGTTGATATCACCAAGGTAATTTTAAACTCATAATTTTGGCTTAATAAAGCTTTATGTCATGTCACATATTATATCACCACATATTGGCTGTGTTTTCTCCTCATTGCCTTTCAAGGCTCACCATGATGTATAATATTTATCCATCTACGTACAGCCAGTGTTAACACCTATTTCAAAATTCTAGATCCAAGATTCCAAATTCAACTTACAATTTCTCAAAAAGCATCTAAGTTCCAAGTGAATTATCACAATTTTGCTCTAATATTTGCCACCACTGAATACATATTCCCATCTTCATAACATTGACCCCTCTGCACCCCCATCCCCCTCCCCATCTCAGCTCATCCATGCCTTTATTATATCTAGACTTGACAATTCCAAAGCACCCTTGGCTGGGCTCCCACATTTTACTTACTCTCTGCAAATTTGAGGTCATTCAAAGTCTCGCTGCCTACATCTTAACTTGCATTAATTCATGTCTCATTCATAATGACCCCTCTAATCACTAAATTAGTTTTGCTTACAGTCAAACAACAGGTCGATTTTAAAATTGTCATCCATGGCCTATCCATCTTTTTGTTTGCAATGTCTGAGAAAGCTGCAATCCTCTAATTTGGGATTCTTAAGCATCTTTGATTTTAATCTCAGCACCATTGATAGTTGTGCTTTTAGCTGTTTATGACCTTAACAATTAGGTCTAGATTCTCCTACAAGAAGAAAAGTATCCTTACTACATCCAACTGTTAATATCCCTCATGACTTAAATGTTCCAATCAAATGTCTCTTAATTTTCTAATCTCCAGCAGAAACGAGCCTAGCCAGTCATAACAGCAGACACAATCACCCATTTCAGTATTAGCCTGGTAAAGCTTCTCTAAACTGCTTCCAGTGGATTTACATCTTTCCTTGAATAAGGTGACTAATACTGCGCTTATTACTCTGGATATGATCCTACCAGTGTCTTAGATACCTGAATATAACCATTCTACCTTTGTATTCAATTCTTGGCCCAGCAAGCAAACATTCTATGACCTTTTCAAATAACTTGCTGTATCTGCATTCTAACCTTTCTCGATTCATGCACTAGGCTCCCAATTCCCTTGACATCTCAGAAATCTGCAATTTCTCACCATTCAGATAATATTATTTTTTGTACTTCCTACCAAACTGGACATTTCCACATGTCCCATATGATACCTCATTTGTCAGATCTTTGCTCACTCACTTAACCTATCTGTGTACTCTTCACAACTTACTCTCCTATCATCTTTATGTCATCAGTTATCATACCTCCAGTGCCTTCATTCAAGTCATTGATAGAAATTATAAATAACCTTGATCCCAGTGTCACACTACTCTGTACAACATGCCAACCAAGAAATGACACATTTGTGCTGACTCCTGTTTCCTGTTATATAGAACATTGAACAGTACAGCACAGGAACGGGCCCTCTGGCCCGTGATGTTTTGCCAAACATGACACTAAATTAAATTAATCCCTTCTGCCTGTCCAAGGCCCATATCCTTCCATTCCTTGCATATCCATGTGCTTATCCAAAAGTTCCTTAAATGTCCACCACTACCCCTGGCAGCACATTCCTGACTCCTACCACTCCCTGTGTAAAATACTTATCCCTCACAACTCCTTTGAACTTTCCCCTCTCACCTTAAATGCATGGCCCCTAGTATTAGACATTTCAAATCTGGAAAAAAAAAATCTGTCAGCCCTATCTATGCATGTCATAATTTTATAATTTTATTTACCCTGTTAGCAAGCCAATTGCCTATCATGCCTTATTGATCGTTGATAGAGACTGAGGAATCAGGAGTTGAGTTGTTTTTTTCTTGAATGCTGCAGAATTCTTAGCCTCTGACCTGTTTTTGCTACTGCAGTATTTATAAAGCTAGTCCTGTTCATTTTCAGGTCAATGATAACTCCCAGGATCTTGTTAGTGGGGGATTCAGGAATGATAATGCCTTTGAACAATATGGGGTGATGGTTAGATTCTTTCTCACTGGAAGTGGTCATTGCCTAGCATTTGAGTGACATTATTGAGAGAATTACTGTGGATGATCCACACAGCACTTCTGCCTGAATTTTAAACCAATGTTCCAGCTGCCTTGGCATGGGTCTGAGAATTACTGGTCCAATGACATTACCAATACAGTGCAATGACAATACCAATACTCTCTACACATCATCAGCACAAGTAACAGCATGATGAATGTTAATGACTGTTGGTCAACCTGTTGCCCTTAAAATTAACAACTAAAAGAGTGGGGTCTCATTCCTTCAGAGTGAATGCTTTTTAAAAACTAAAATTATAATATTTTCACTCTCCCTGTCTTAATCTAATCTTTGTTTTATCTTTATTTCTTTACCCGTATTGCACTTAACACCGAATTCTAACCACTATCCTTTTCCATTCATCCTCTGCTTATGTCATTAAATTTCATCACTGATTCCTGGGACGGCAGGTTTATTGTGTTATGAAAGTTTTGGTCAACTGTGTTCATGTTCACCGTGGTTTAGAAGAATGAGAGGGTATCTCATTAAAAGGAATAAAATTCTTAGAGGGCTAGTCAGACCTAATAAAAGGAGGATTGTTTTCCCTGATCTCTAGATCAAGAGGTTACAGCCTCAGGATATCTGGCAGACCATTTTGGACTGAACTGAGGAGAAATTTGTGGACTCAGGTTGCGGTGATCCTGTAGCATTCTCGACCATAGAGGTTCCGGAGGCAAAGTCACTGAATAGATTTTTAAAAAAAGAAATAGATTTCTAGAGGCTAAAAGTGTCAAGGAGTATGGAGAGAGCAGCAGTATGGTTTTGAGATAAAGAGTCAGCCATGATCATGGTAAATAGTTCTCAAGCTTAATGGACTTAATGCCCTGTTCCTGTTGATTTTTTTTTATGTTAAAGAGATACAAAATTTTTTTCAATCCTCCCCCAGAATCCTTGAACTTTATCAATTCACACTTCGAGTAAGTTACAGGACAAACTGAAGGGTGCAGGGAAAGAAACCCTACCCAACTGAGGATGAGATATTCTGTTCTAGCAAATAGAATCCCTACAGTGTGGAAACAGGCTTTTCGACCTAACAAAGCCACACTGAACTTCACAGCATCCCACCCAGACCCATCCCTCTGTAACCCACCTTATCTACACATCCCTGAACACTATGGGCAATTTAGCATAGCCAATTTACTTAACCTGCACATCTTTGGACTGTGGGAGGAAACGGAGCACCCAGAGGAAACCCACACAGACACGGGGAGAATGTGCAAACTCTACACAGACAGTCGCCCGAGGGTGGAATCGAACCCGAGTTGCTGACGCTGTGAGGCAGCAATGCTAACCACTAAGCCACCGTGCCACCCTCCAAATAATCACACTCATTCTGTTTACTTATTATTATAATAAATCAAGCATGATCACATCATATTGTTCAATTTCCAGCATGTTCTCATGCAAAATACCATTGTCAACATTTAACCATGTCATAGAAAGGTGATAGCATATGCCCTGATCGATGCTCCATATAAAGTCTACCAGTCCTTGAAATGTTAATTCTGTTTCTTCCTTTAAAGATGCTGCTAGACCCATTGAGTTTCTCCAGCACTTGTTGTTTTTATTCGGTACCTAAAATAGTCCTCCTTTGATGTGTGGCCCTGTATGTTCACCATACATTGCTATTTGGAGGGATTTGTGACAATTTGAAGACCTACATATAAAGGTAGGACATGACGTATATGTGGGATATATTAACATTTGGATATCATTATATCATTCCATTGTATCCATTTATGAAATGTGTTTATTGCCGGTAAAAGGAAGTTTTTTTCAGTTTCCCTTCATTGTTCTTTACTTTCACCCAGCTGGTTGAGATTTTCTCCTTTAGTTGTCCAGTTCAGTCATTTCAGCTCATAAGCATTATCATATCATTCATGTTTTTACCTGAATTATAGAGTTATAGCCAGGATCTTTATATTCACTTTCAGGCCTCAAGTACAAATGAAGTATCAGCTGTTGCAACTGATGGAGATGAAAGAGAAGACACTGCTGAGAAAATAGAAGGTACAACATCTATTCTGCCCATTTTACCATTTTGGCTTTTTTGCTACTTGTTTTCCAGTTTCACTTGCTCACGCATGTTGAGTTTTGAGCTGGAGAATTTCCAAAGCCGTGCACCCCACATAATGGATAATGTTCACCTCTGGCAGCACTGGGTGCTTTTGAACAAATTCCTTATTTAGTTTTTTGATTATTTTATGATGCCAAGCAAAAATGTATTCTACAACTTCTAAAAAAACCAGTTAAAATTTTCCTTTTACTTCCATGGTTCCATCGTTGAGACCTTGATCGTTAGCTGTGCTGAGACACGATGTTATGTCATGAATGTTTTATGAAAACCATAAATACAATTCCTATACAAAGTTACAATGTGGCATCCATTGTAATGCATAATAGATTGTCTTTTAGTTTCTGTGCTCTACATGTGCCATATTCACAATTTAATTTGCTTTGCTTTGATTTATTGTTGTCACATGTATCTAAGTACAGTGAAAAGTTTTGTTCTGTGAGCACTACAGGCAGATCATAGCAAAGAAGGACATACAGATCATAGGGTGCTTAGACAGAGCAAGACATACTAGGTAACAGCTGCACAGGTGGTGTACAAAGCAAGATGAACGTTGGTTTTGAAATTAGAAAGGTCCATTCCGCAATGTAATGACAGCAGGGAAAAAGCCTGAATAAGACAGAACAATGCTGCAGGAGACGTAAAGGAACATTAAATATGAAGTCCAGTTCTCAACTGAAAGGGCTCCCATTTAGGACAATTACAGGCATCTCTTTTCCTTCTAGGGCAGCTGAACAATCTGGCTATTAAGGACGAAAGCATCCAGCACACAGATATCAATTTAGAAATATCTTACTCTGAACAGGCTGCAAATACGAAGGATAAATCAAACAACGAAAATCCTATACGAGAGGATGATTCACCCCTGCCTGTAAGTAGAAACAAAGAATGACGTAAAACAGAGAAAGGCCATTTGATCCATCATGCCTGTGATAGCCTTTACAGAGAACTTCTCCCATTGCCCTGCAAAACCTTTCACTTCAAGTACCTGTCTAATAATCATTTGAAAGTTTGTATTAAATGTACTTCCACCACTCTTTCAGTCGATGTACACAAGATCATAGCAACTCTCTGCATAAGTTTGTTTTCCCTGATGTTGCTTCTGGTTTTCTTTTTTTTTTCTATTCATTTGTGGGATGTAGGCATTGCTGGATGGCCAGCATTTCTTGCCCATCCCTAGTTGCCCTTGAGAAGGTTGTGGTGAGCTGCTTTCTTGAACCATTGCAGTCCACCTGCTGTAGATTGACCCACAATGCCATTAGGGAGGGAATTCCAGGATTTCGACCCACTGATAGTGAAGAAACGGTGAAATTTTTCCAAGTTAGGATGGTGATTAGCTTGGAGGGAACTTGGAGGTGGTGATGTTCCCATATGTCTGTTGCCCTTGTACTTCTAGATGGGAGTGGCCGTGGGTTTGGAAGGTGTTTTCTGAGGATCTTTGGTGAATTTCTGCAGTGCATCTTGTAGATGGTACTCACTGCTGCTACTGAGCGTTGGTGGTGGAGGGAGTGGATGCTTGTGGATGTAGTGTCAATTAAGTGGGCTGCTTTGTCCTGGATGGTGTCAAGCTTCTTGAGTGTTGTTGGGCTGCACTCATCCAGGCAAGTGGGGAGTATTCCATCACATTCCTGACTTATGCCTTGTAGATGGTGGACAGGCTTTAAGGAGTCAGGAGGTGAGTTACTCACCACAGTATTCCCAGCTTCTGGCCTGCTCTTGAGCCACTGTGTTAATGTGGTGAGTCCAGTTGAGTTTCTGGTCAATGATAACCCCAAGATGTTGACAGTGGGAGATTTAGTGATGGTAACACCACTGAATATCAAGAGACGGTGGTTAGATTGTCTCTTATTGATGATGGTCATAGCTTGGCATTTGTGTGGTGCAAATGTCACTTGCCACTTGTCAGCCCAAGCCTGGATATAGTCCAGATCTTGTTGCATGTGAACATGGACTGCTTCAGTATCTGAGGAGTCATGAATAATGCTGAACATTGTGCAATTATCAGTGAACATCCCCACTTCTGACCTTATGATGGAGGGAAGGTCATTGGTGAAGCAATTGAAGATGGTTGGGCCTGAGGAACTCCTGCAGAGATGTCCTGGAGCTAAGATGATTAACCGCCAACAACCACAACCATCTTCCCATGTGTTAGGTATGACTCTAACCACCAGAGAGTTTGATTCCAGTTTTGCTAGGGCTCCTTGATGCCACACTTGGTCAAATTCAGCCTTGATATCAAGGGCTGTCACCTTCACCTCATCTCTGGAATTCAGTTCTTCTGTCCATGTTTGGACCAAGGCTGCAATGAGGTCAGAAGCTGAGTGGCCCTAGCGGAACCCAAACTGGGCGTCACTGAGCAGATTATTGCTGAGAAGGTGCTGCTTGATAGCACTGTTGATGACACCTTCCATCACATTACTAATGATTGAGTGTAGACTGATGGGGCGGTAATTGGCCGAGTTGGATTTGTCCTACATTTTATGTACAGGACATACTTGGGCAATTTTCCACATTGCCGGGTAGATACCAGTGTTGTAGCTGTATTGCAACAGCCTGGCTAGGGGAGCGGCAAGTTCTGGAGCACAAGTCTTCAGTACTATTGCTGGAATGTTGTCAGGGCCCATAGACTTTGCAGTATCCAGTGTTTCCAACCGTTTCTTGATATCACATGGAGTGAATCGAATTCGCTGAAGACTGGCATTGGTAATGCTGGGGACCACTGGAGGAGGCCGAGATGGATCATCCGCTCGGCACTTCTGGCTGAAGATTGCTGCGAATGCTTCAGCCTTATCTTTTGCACTGATGTTCTGGGCTCTTTCATCATTGAGGATGGGGATATTTGTGGAGCCTCCTCCTCCAGTGAGTTGTTTAATTGTCCACCACCATTCACGACTGGATGTGGCAGGACTGCAGAGCTTAGATCTGATCCATTGGTTGTGGGATTGCTCAGCTCTCTCTAACACTCTTTGCTTTTGCTGGTTGGTGTGCATGTAGTCCTGTCTGGTGGCTTCACAAGGTTGAAACCTCATCTTCAGGTATGCCTGGTGCTGCTCCTGGCATGGCGTCCTGCACTCTCCATTGAACCAGGTTGATCTCCTGGCTTGATGGTAATGGTTGAATGGGGGATATGCTGGGCCATGAGGTTACAGATTGTGCAGAAGTGCAATTCTATTGCTGTTGATGGCCCACAGCTCCTCATGGATGCCCAGTCTTGAGTTGCTAGATCTATGCAAATTCTGTCCCATTTAGCACAGTGATAGTGCCACACAACACGATGAAAGTTATTCTTAATGTGAAGGTGGGACTTTGTCTCCACAAAGACTGTGCAATGGGCACTCTTACCAATATTGTCATAGTCAGATGCAACTGCAGCTGGCAGATTAGTAAGGATGAGGTCAAGTATGTTTTTCCCTTTTGTTCGTTCCCTCACCACATGCCACAGACCTAGTCTAGCGGCTATGTCCTTTAGGACCCGACCAACTAGATCAGTAGTACTGCTGCCGAGCCACTCTTGGTGGTGGACGTTGAACTCCCCCAACCAGAATACATTTTGTGCTCTTGCCATCCTCAGTGCTTCCTCTAAGTGTTGTTCAACATGGAGGAGTACCGATTCATCAGCTGAGGGGGGATGGTATGTAATAATCAGCAGGAGGTTTCCTTGCCCATGTTTAAACTGAAGTCATGAGACTTCATGGGGTCCGGAGTCAATGATGAGGACTCCCAGAGCAACACCCTCCTGCCGGTGAGACAGGACATATCCAGGGATGGTGATGCTGGGACATAGTCATACTCACAGAATCATACCTTACAGACAATGTCAGGCTGTTGTTTGACTAGTCTGC